ACAGGATTTTTGCATATGCGATATGCCTGACGTCACAATAGCCGTATCAGCCCTTCAGGGCTGATATTGATTATCAGTCCTGCAGGGCTGATACGGATCAATATCACACCCTTAGTAAATTAAACCACAAAACAGTACCTGTAATTATACACAATTTTTGGTGGGTTCATATATTCTCCTAATTTTAACTTTTTGAAAATAATGATAATCTAATTAACAAACAATAGATTATTTTCAAATTACGGATCAAGTGCATCAAAATAGAAGTAGAAACAAACCCAAACCGTATTAGACAAAAGACCAGGTATATGTATGTTTGCATGTTTATTTACTAATTTTTTTTTTCTCAACTTAATGTGTGCTGTTTTTTATTACTAAGAATGTTATAAACATTATAATACATACCCTTTTCCAAATCACATCCTTTATCAGCCCTCGGGACTTCGGCCCTCTGTCTGATATTGGTGTTTCGGGCTGATAAAGGGTGTGATATGGAAAAGGGTATGTATTATTCTCTGTGTATGACTGTTTTACAAAAATGGTTTTTTCTCTTGCTTTTGAAAAGTGTAAGAAAGATATGGAGATAACGAACAGTATTCAATATCAAAGCCGATAAAACAATACAAAGTAGGAGCATAGCAAACACGGACCTCCGAAACATCAGAGTGAATATCCCTCGCTGACCGGACACACCCAAAGTGTGCTTCTTTTCATCATCGGGAAATAACGGAAAAATCCATTGTCAATACAATGCATAAATAATGGACTAACAATCAGTATGAAAAAGTTAGTTTGCTCGTAAAATGTTATAAGTCGAAAATCACATTGTATCTGATTTTGCTAGAACAGTTAAATCCCAATTTGAAGTAAAATTTAAGATATAATTAAGATAAGAGTAACTCGGAGGAATTATCATCTGCTTACCAGTAACCTTTAAGCTTGAAAATGTAAATATACAAATTAAATACTGTATTCTTTCAGAGTCTCTTGGAGTCAGGAAAATACTTTTCCGTGTTAAAGCTAAAGATCAACGCATTTTGCAGGACGTATGACCGTTTCAACCTTACCAGTTATAAGACTTTAATTCTATTTTTGTATGCAACTTATAAATTGTCCTTGTACTTTTTTCACTGATTATTTCAAATGAACTATATTTCAAGAAGCGTGGGAAAAAATACTAAGTACAGATTTATACATCTGTAATTCAGTGTGTCAAAACGGAATTGTTATGGGTTCTAATTTATCAATTACTAACCGTGGTAGAAAAGATGAACCTCTACTCACAAAACTTAAACCACCAAGGAAATCAAAATCAGGGCATATATGGACTGATGATTTGCCAGCACAAGAAAATTGTTATTGCGTTGCTAAAAGAAAGAATGTACCTTATCATTCTGTAATGAAATTCCATGAACAAGACGCGACAAATGTTAAACTCGAAAACGCAGAATCCAAGAAAATGAACATAAACCTTCAACACACATCAGGTAAGAATACGTTTGCTTATTTTAATATATTGATGCCTACATGTATAATATATAATAGATTTATAAGTTCTTGTTTCATTTTCATCCAAATTATAATTAAATATGATCGAGAATTAGTTGCAGTAACATATAAATTGTAAGTACGATCTTCATGTCATGGTCTAAAAGAACGTATACTAGTACGTTATCGTCCGAAAGACAGGTTTTCACCTATTAAAGAGGATCCGAAACTGCCACGTCCGTAATATGCGTAATATGCGACTCTAGAGAATAACACTTAAACTATTGTGCTATGCGGAAAGCAAACTTATTGTTTAAGAAATTATATGGGAGTTTAATGACAAGCAAAGCAATTTTAGTGACAAAAGTATTATATGTTAGCATCCTTAGTAAGTTTACTTTCAAGTTTAAATATACAGCTTCCTCGTGAAAATATTAAGACTACAATCCAACACTTGAATTTTTCGACCGAATATCTTAATAGAAATTTTATTCGAAGACAAGCAAGATTACTCCAAATTAATGAATAAGAAGAGCATTTTAAAAATTGCGTCGAGTCATTTTCTTTCAAAAAAAATTTAATGCTTTATCAAAATTTTACATGCTTGTTAAACATATGTTCAAAATAAAATCGAAGATAATATCTGATCTATGCTGAAGGTATGGTTTGTAGATCTTTTTGAGTCGATTCATTTGGGGCGTTATTTAGAGATTGTGGCCTCCAATATAGCGTTCATACAGCAATATACAGATGGATTTTCTAAAAAAAAAAATTCTGCTAATAAGGAACAAGTTATTTAGATCACCGTTATTGCATTTATTCTCCTTTTAAAAGTCAAAGACTCTTTATCCATATTATCAATAAGAAGCTAGTAAGTTTGAATCACGGTCACGACTGACCTATTGATAAAAAGTAGTAGCAGCTATTCCTTTGTTAAGAGCTAAGCGCCTTGATGTGAAAACTGTGGTTCTTTCTGTTAAACCCGAGGCATGGTGTTACGGTGGGTGTTGAATCGATTAAAACTTAAAAAAATTAAGGGCATACGAAAGTTATTACAGTAGTCCGAGTACTTTCCGAAGAACTCTCGTTGAATGAAGACAATGGCATTGAATATATCTCTCTTTTCACTCAAAACTGTTTATTCATCGGATAAAACATCATCAAAATTTATTGCACATGTATGATAAACAAATAGTGTTTCAAAGCTTATATACTTTAGAATTATTATTGTTGTTTTGGAAAACCAGAAATCAAAAGCCCTGTGAAGGATACCACTTTTCGGATTCGAGAAAAGGACTTTCCAATGGACCAATCAGAGAAATCAAGATCGTCGCAGTTTCAAACTGTAGATAACTACTCAAATGACGTATTAAAAAGCAAACGTTTGTTGGAGGAAACTGGATTTCACTTCTTGATTCCTCAATTAGGTATGCCTACATATAAATGATTAATGTAAGCATCTGTTTAAATAAACAGTAGTTTATTTAGTTTATTTTTTTTGTTGAATACGTTGTTGCAATGGGCAGGTGAAAAACAGAAGAGTACTAGATATGCAGCTCAACGAACTTTTTAAACTCACATGGTTTTTCGCACAAATTAAGGACAGATGATACAAACAAATTTTTTTCTTTGAAAAAGATCTAATATCATGTCACAAGTTTAGAAAATTGGATGGTTCTTAGTATTTTTTATTTCTCCTAAGAACTGGATTATGAAAAAATCTTGAAAATATTAGTAATATTTCATTGAAAAACCAAATGTAGACAAATTGCATTCATTAAAGGTTTACGGGTGAAAACAAAATTTCAGAATATGTTACCATGCTGCTAAAAGTGTAATATAAACTTAAGAGAAATATACCAAGCCAGGTGAATTTTATTAGGAAAAGCTAACTGGTAAAAATCAGCCTATATGATATTGCTAAGTTTTTGTCATTTTGATATTCCTCTTAAAATTCACCTGGCTTGGTATATTTTTCAAAAGTTTATATTATACTTTTAGCACCATGGTAACATATTCTGAAATTTGTTTTCACCTGTAAACCTTTACTGAATGTGATTTGTCTATATTTGTTTTTCTATTGAAATATTACTAATATTTTCCGATTCTATTTCATTTTTCAAGTTCTTAAGAGAAAAAAATTCTAAGAACCATCCACTTTTCTAAACTTGTGACATGATATTAGATCTTTTTCAAAGAAAAAAAAATGTTTATATCATCTGTCCTTAAGGTCACATTGTTATAATGTAAAATTGTGTAACTTGACAATAAAATATATTTTAAAAGTGATTTATAACTTATTTTTTATCTTATTCTATAACTTTAAACATTTTGCACACATTATAATTGGTAGAAATTTTATATGCTTTAGGATGATAGATTATGAGAATTCCCAAATGATTTTTTCATGGTTTCTCGTTAAATGCTGCTGTCATTTTATCCGTTCAGTTTAAAACCTAACTTTGCATTGCCTAATTAGAGAAACAGTGCAGTTCATGAAACGTTTAATGCATTTTCCGTACATTGATATGACGTTAGGGCGCAAGATGATAGAAGTATTTATCATCTATTTGACTGCTTTCATATTAAAAAGATAAATTTTTAAAGCTTGACTTTCTAAAATCTAGCATCATGAAAAATACCTTCCAACACAAAAATTCAAAGTTTTCAGACCATAAATGTAAAAGATTTTATTCTTTTCAATAGTAACAATTTTATATTGTGAAAGATAAACAATTCTTGATTATCCTATCCTCTGACATTACATGTATTTCTTTATGCAATCTGTCATTTTTCGGCGCTGCATTTCGAAAAAACCAAAACAAGAATGGAAAATGTGCAAAGTACTTTGAAAAATACTCATCTGTAATAAGTCAAATCAAATTTAACATTTCAACTAAATAGTGTCAAAAATAGGTCGATGAATTAGTTTGTGAATACCTATGGTAGAATCATACACATATAACATAATACAATTTATACCTAGCTATTTTGACAGAGTTTTAATGTGTATCAACAATTCTTGTTTAAAAATGAGCAGGTCTTTATATATGTGTCATTTCAATTGTCTTTTATTTAATCATAGTTTATGCCTTTAACCAACTGCAAGCGGAAGCCTCTCGATCTTCATATCATAAAGACGAAATAATGAACTATTACGAAGAAGTAACTATGCAAAGCAATAAATTTGCTTTCGTTGTGACAGGCATAATCGGAAAGGATAAATCTCGAGCAAGTTTATTATTATTTGAACGATTGAAAAATTTGAATGAGGCGACTCCCTTTGCAGTGAGAAACATTAGGGAACTTGAATCTATTCAAGTTCTCCCTGACATCAAAATGACAATACTTGTGGACGGACTGTTTGAACAAATTACATCTTTGGCAACTCTCAAAGAAACAGTATCTAGCCTCGACAATTTTTTCAAGTTGCTCAATACTTGGTCAGAAAATAATACTATCATAATATCAATGGAAAAAGAAGTTCTCAACTTCCTTAAGATTTCAAGTGCTGCAGACGAATTTCTTCAAAAAAGCTTCGTAATCGATTTGACAGACAAGGTAGAAAAGAGCATGAAGGAAATATTCACGCACATTAATGACATGGACGAGAAATGTTTTTCGTGTTTGTCTTCGGTGCTGTTGAATCCTGGTTTGAGCTTTCAATGTTCAGCAGCTTCTCGCATACATCATTCTGATCTTTTTCGCAATGATTTCATGATTCCACAAAAAATCGCAGAGTCTTTTGTTGGGATTTATTTAGAGAAAGAAGATAGCTGCTATTATGTTAATGATGAAAGTATCCGAAAGGTTTTGTGTCAAGTTCATTTAAAGCGAAATCCAGAGGTATTTCTTGAAATGTGTCCTTTAAGATACCTCAGTTACATTATGGACCATGATGATGTTTGCATAACAAAAGATGCTTTTTATGGAACATTGCTCTTACGTTTTTTTAACGAAATAAAAATGCATCCTTCACACTCCCTGTTTGAGGAATTAGCGCGACTTTTGGAGATGAAAAACGTTGATGAACATATATTTTCTTTCGACGCTGTGAAAGCAAATATTGCTCAAATTCCGAACACAATCAAGGCCCACTTGGCAAATCAACTAGCAGTGAGTGGAAAGGATGAGTTTACATCCCTTATACAAATGTTGGTAAAGGACTTCAATTTGACTGCAAAAAATGTATCTAAAATGTCATATGATGATATCTCAATTTTGTCCGACGAAAATATAGCTCATTCAAGATCCACTTTTACTGCAATAGCTTGCGAATTCGATCAGACAAGGTATGAATGGGGTCGAAAAACTGAAAATATTTACCCTTATTGTCTTTCCAATCAAGTGCTTGAAAGGTTGGTAAAAAGTGTTTATATGACTGATACGTTGATGGCAAAAATTTTAATTAGAGCAGTTGAGGAAAACTTTTGCTCCCAGTTTAGCGTCAGATCTGTTTATGTCTGGACAGGATACAGGTTTCAAAAACAGAGAGTTACTTGCAATGAGTATGTCATTATTGTTTGTAAGGAAGGCTTTAAATGTACGGCAAAAGAAGTGCTACCTTTAAAATATTGCGGACTTGAAGTCCTTGTAAAAGAAATCTCTGAAGTTGATGGTGAATCACTTGCAATTATGGAATATGAAGCAAAGTTTAACCTCGACAGAAATTTGGTGATACACGATTGGGTCATAAATAGCTTACTTCAATCCCATAGTAACATAACTGGGATTACAACATCATCTGTATTATCAAGGAATTACAAACCTGGAAAACCACCCAATATCGAACCAGTTTCCTGTATTGTAATATCATGCCACACAAAAGGTATAATTCCAATGGGCGAAAAACCATTTCCTACGAATTTAAATGGTTATCCTGTGGATGTACGTGAATCTGGTGCAGCTATTTCTGCAACTCGCCATCCTCAAATAGGAGACAGTATCAAATCAAGCACTGCTGAAATGGGTAAGGGTACCTTGGGAGGATTTGTTTTTGTTGGCAACAAAATATATTACTTAACCGCAGCACATGTCTTGGTGTTAAAAATCCATCTTAATGAAAACCTGTTTGAAAACGCGAAAACATTAGATGTAAAAATTTTAAGAGAAATATCTGACGAATGGAATGAATGTGGAATACTTGACAGAGGGTATTTTGGAGAGATACGTTTGAAAAGAAAATTTACGGTAGATGCTGTTCTTGTCAACATTAATTCTGAGGATCACAAGCCAAAACACCCATTTGTTCCTCAAAAAAATATGATAGATGCAGGTATTTGAAGTTATAAATTAGCAATTTCAGTTTAGGGATAAGTTCATCTATATAATATTATTTAATTGATTTTTATTCCTATTCCAGCCATGCCTTAGAATTGCCACTTCTTTTTTGTTCTCTTCATTCATTTGTGGATCATTCAGAAATGTCACCAAGTTTTGTAGGCTAATCAATAGAAATGAAAGTATAAATTATTTTACAATTTTCTTTGGGAAAAATTTAGTATGTTATTCAAGAACTCTTTCAATCATCAAAGATCTTATTTATTTATTTAAAAACATGCATGCACATGCATTTTAAATACTGATATGAATTGATTTGTTGGAATTAAAAATTTATTCAAAAATAGTATTAAAAACATCAGCAAAATTATTAGAGCACTGATCTTAAATTATCATGCGAATCCTTTAAAAATGTTGCCAACTTGCGATGAGTAAAAAAATAACAATGATCATTTACATGTAATTTGTAGTTCATGCATACCAGTAGATTTTTCAACTGTTACCAAACAATAAAAGGAAAATTTAAAATTAAAATTAACATCTCCACAATGATATTTGTTGTCCTTTTTTTCTTTCAAACTTAAATTCATATTTATTGAATATATTACAATCATTCAACTACCTGTTCCTTTCTCATGTTGTAGGATTTTTAGAAGGAAGTAAACCAATTTTTAGTGGAAAAATAAAAGACGTTTCAAACCTGGACGAACCATTGAATATTGTTAAATATGGACAAACAACGTTGTGGACAAAGGGGAGATTGACCCGTATTAATACTATGAAAACGATAAAAATCAATGAAAACGGTTCTTTTTTTAAACAATATTTCGGTCAAATGGTTATAAAATCTGACCATGGTAAATTTGCTGATCTTGGAGATTCTGGATCTCTCGTATTCATTGTAAGTGATTACAACGATCCAGAATTAGAGTGCATTGGACTCCTTAATGCTGTAGACCAAGCATCCGGGGAAGTTTACGTTACCCCAATCAGAGCGGTTTTGGAGAGTTTGAGACTTGATGAAAATGCCTTCAAAAAAATTGATCCGCCGTTTACCTTGACGTACTTAAACATGATTAGAGAAAGATTAGACTTGCACACTGAAATTCTTTTGAACATTGAAGAAAACATAAGACAACAAGCATCCTGATCATTCCCTGGTTTGTTTGTTTGTTTGTTTGTTTTTTTTTTTTTTTTTGCATTCAGTTTGCTTATGTGACTACAGTTTATTCAAAGACATAGTGCAATTTTGCATAATTCTCCCGAAGTCAAATTAGACATTGTACATGTAATGGAAAGAAAAATAACAGAAAAATCACATAGATGAGTTTTTTTTCGTCTTTTGGTTAAAGAGTTCCAATATTTTAAGGAGCCTTATGTGCATGCGTTTATTCTTTCGAAAAAGTCTGGATAGAACCCAACTTCTAGAAAATATAATTACTTATTGCTGTACACTTTTTCCCTGAGTTATAAAAGAGTAGTTGTATTTTATTAACTGATATATTTTCAAGATTCCTGGTAAAGTATGCTCTTTTTTGTCTACGAAGATCTGATGGCACTATGATCTCAAATTAATAATATCTTGAAGGAAAATAAATTCGTAGGTAAAGTATGTTGCAAATGTCCGAAAGCATGTATATTTAAAATAATTATGTATATTTATTATTTTATTTATTATTTATTTTAGGAAACATGCATCTGTAGTATATTGTTAATTATTTTTTCTCCTTTTTTTTTTAAAGTCTCTAAAGTCTAATGATATTTTGTGGAAATAGATTGAGAATAAAAGTGAGAAAAATAAGCATTTCATCTCATTATGAAAAACTTGAGGTGCTTTGAGTAGCATCATATTATATAAATATAATGTTAAAATCCATGTTTTGCTCTGGGAGACCCGAAATAAGTGTCAGATTTAAAAAACAAAACAAAATAGGCATTATATTTTATTCAGAAACGGTTGCATATAAATAAGTGATTGGTACCTCTCAATGTTATAGAAAGAATGACAGTGTACATGCTTTTCTATGGAAAACCTCATCTTAAAATAATACAAAAAACATAAAACTTCTTTTTAAATATAGCTTTAACGGTCTCATTTTAAATATTGTTTTGGTATTGGGAAATAAAAGTCTTGTATGGTAAAGAACATATGTCCTTAAATGTGATGTGAAATATCCTCCAAAAAAAACTGCCGTCTGATTTAATTTTCCAATGCCCCGAACTATCTTTCCCAGAATGTCAGTTTAGAAGAAGCCTTAAAAAACATAATTAACATATCTTCTAACGCGTAGAATGACAAATAAAATCATATTCAAATGGTGAAAATACATAGTTTATTTCATTGCGCTGTCGCATGTCATTCATGTAACTTTTAAAGTTACAGACAATAGGAAATGGAAGTGGGAATTAAAAAATATATCTTTTTCGATTATTATACTTGTTATAGTTACACCATAGACATTAATTGGTTAATGGTAAATACACTCACAGTTTTTAATTCACAAGGGGCGGAGCCCCGAGTGAATTAAAAACTGTGAGTGTATTTACCATTAACCTATTAATATCTATTGTGTAAGTTACTTGTACCAGAGGACCAATGAGAGAAAAGCTGTTTGACAGTTAGCACCGCCCACTTCATGCTGTCAAGCCATGGTCCGGAGTCTGTATAAATACCTTTCTCCATCTGAAAGGATGGTATTTTAAATGCTGCTGCTGGGGTATCGACGAACAAAAAATCGGAATGACATCATTATTAGGTACATGAGAAGATGTTGCAGCTTAGACAGAGGACTTGATTTTTGTCAGGAACAGATGTATAGCGATCGTAACCTGTTTTATTTTAGGCTGTTATTCCTTTCGAAGATCGATTTTATTTTTTTTGGGGGGGGGGGGTGGTCAATGGAAAACATCGCCGATTAATCTTTTCATTTATAGCGATCAATGTACATGCAAAATCCGCGAAATGATTTATGACATTTTATAAAGTTTGAAGGGTTTTGCAAGCATAGGCGTCGGAAGCAAATTGAAGGGCGAGGGTGGTGGTGGGGGGGGGGGGGGGCTCAAACCAACAAAAAGAAGGCCCCCTCCCCGGTTCCGAGTCTTCCGACGCCAATGTCAAGTAAAAAAAACAAGGACCTTTAACATGTTTAATGTGAAATTACTATTTGGAGACAAGAATAAGAATTAAGGCAATTCGAGATAGAACGTATAAGGTTCAAAGGATACACTTAATTAATTTTAGAATTCTTGAAGTTTAAATTGTTGACTAAACTCATTTATCAGTTATTGCCAAGGTTTTGAAATAAGCATCATTTCTTCATCAGTCAAGGTCTTGTTACATGTACTATGGCTTGATGCCAAATTGTGGGCGTGACTTAAAAACTGTGGTTCTTCTGGCAAATACACCACAGCAACATCAAAGTAAAATCTGAATTCACCGCCAGTCCTATGGTACATTAGTACACGAACATATGTCATTCTATGGATAATGTGTACAGAAATACTAGTAAATATCACGTACTTGTATATTTCATTTGAACTCATTAATGAACATACATAACTTATTTGCTGTAGGTGTCATGATGGCCTTTCTTACTATAAATAGCTTCACAGACAAAAGTAACAAGCAGATTCAAAAAATTGTGGTCCCCCGCTTTCGGTGTCTTTATGGGTGAGATGTTATTTTTTATGACATATTGTGTCTAATATGAACACCGTATCATATGTCCTTTATTTAGATATTATCATTGAAGTTGATTGTTTTGAAGAATAAAAACCCTAATCCTGACCGTTAAAACTTATGGCCAAAGTTAAAGGTTTTTTTTTAAAGTAGGTGAACTCCAAGGTCAAGATCAAAGGGTCAAAGTTGTTAATATCCCATGAAAGGTCTTCTCACAAGCATTACATATGTGAAGTATGAAAGTCCTAGCTCTTACCGTTCAAATGTTATGGTCAAGATTAAGTTTTTTCATAAGTATGTAAATCTTTAAGGTCAAGGTCAAAGTTGTTGATATCCAAATAAAGGTTCTGCCACAAAGAATATGTACGTGAAATATGAAAGTCCTAGATATATATCGTTCAAAAGTTGTGACCAAAGTTAAAGTTTCTTAAAAGTAGTTAAAACTCCAATGTCAAGGTCAAAGTACGAAAGCCCTCGCTCTCACCGTTCAAAAGTTATGGTCGAAGTTAAAGTTTATTCATAAGTACGTAATTCTCAAAGGTCAAGGTCAAAAGGTAAAGGTTGTTGGTATCCATTGAAAGGTCTTGCCACAAAGAATACAAATGTGAAACATAAAAGTCCTAGTAGCTACTGTTTAAAAGTTGTGATCAAGGTTTAAGTTTAAAAAGTAGTTTAAAATCCAAGGTCAAGGTCAAAGGGTAAAAGTTGTTGGTTTTCAATGGAAGGTCTTTTCACAAGAATTACATATGTGAAGTACGAAAGCCTTAGTCCTCACCGTTCAAAAGTTATGGTCAATGTTAAAGTTTTTTCATAAGTAAGTGAAACGCCATGGTCAAGGTCAAAAGATCAAGGTTGTTGGTATCCAATGAAAGGCCTTGCCACAAAGAATACATATGTGAAATATGAAAGTCCTAATATCTATCACTCAAAAGTTATGGCCAAAGTAAAAGTTTGGAATTTTTGTGTAAATGTGGGTTAAACTCCAAGGTCAAGGTCAAAAGGTCAAATTTGGTGGTACTCAAAGAAAGGTCTTGTCAAAAGAAATACACTAGTTTAATATGAAAGTCATAGCTCCACTAAATCAAAAGTTATGGGCAAGGTTAAAGTTTTTGTGACGGACAGACTGACAGACTGACCGACAGACGGACAGACGAATGAGATTTAATGTCCCTTCGCTTTCGCGAAAGCGGGGGACAAAAAATAAACCAAAGTGCGTCAAAGCATATCAATGCTTTCTATACACAAAATAGTCACATTAAGAGACGACAATTAAACACTTATTTTTAACATCTCAGTGTTTGAAAATATTGATCAATATTTCTGATTAAGAAATTAAACTGAAAAAAAAACAAATAAGATATTTATCTTATTAGAGTATAATGGCGATAGAGCAATTTGTGCACATACGCTGCTCAGTGCATATATTCGTGAACTATTTTCAAAAGCACAGTATGGAACGCCGTCACTGCCTTATAGCAGAACACTACAATTGCATTGTGTCAACTTTCAATTACATTATGTCAACACTTTGTGACATTTACGCACAGTACTATTGCATTGCGTCTACTTTCCATTACATTATGTCAACTTTTTATGATATTTACACACACTACTATTGCATTATTTCAACTTTCCATTACATTATGTTTAGTCTTTATGACATTTACACACACACTACTATTGCGTTATGTCAACTTTCCATTACATTATGTCAACTCTTTATGACATTTACACACACTACTATTGCGTCATGTCAACTTTCCATTACATTTTGTCAACTCTTTATGACATTTACACACACTAACTATTGCTTTATGTCAACTTTCCATTACATTATGTTAAGTCTTTATGGCATTAACTCGCACTTCAATTACATTGCGCCAACCTTCCATTGCATTATATCAGCTCTTTATGACATTAAGTCAAAACGATTTTACGTGGTGTAAAGATGTTTTTATATAATTTCAACTCATTATTACATTATGTGCACTCTCTACTATTTGGTCTAAGTAGTTCATTACATGATGTGAATTTATCTTTAATTCAATATCAAGTCGCTATAACACGATGTCAGAATTTCATTACATGATGTGAAAAAAATGTCACATGTAGCCAATTCTTTACTATACTGTGTCATCAATATGCTACATGACGACGGGAATCTATTACATGTTGTCAATTTTCCCTTACTTTTTGACAAATCATTATGTTATGCCATTGTATCTTTACATTGTTTCTAAAATGCTTAGCCTCTTGTCAGTATATCTTAGAATATTTCAACAATTTCGTTTCGTGTTTTTAATATTACATGCACATATGTTAAACATGCAAATAATTTAAATTAAACATATCAAATATTAAATTATACACAAGACTTAATTAATCCTTAATTGAATATCAGGTTAAATTTATAAATAGGATCATGTTCCCATGGAATCTTTATTGACGATTGTTTTTTTTTAACGCCGAAATTCAATGGCCATTTAATCTCATATAAATATCACAAATTAAATAATATGTGTCATGCAGCAATATTTTTCTTTTTATTTTGAATTATTTTGAAAAGTCCAAAACTTCTGATCTAACTACAAAACACTGTCCTAAGCTTTTTATCAGTCTTTAACCCTCCTTTTTTTAAAAAAAAGTGTAAACACATGGTATTTCATACATGCACTGGTGGTTTGGTGGGGAGAGGGGGGATCCCGCCCTCCCATCTTTAGTGACCAAAATATGCATGAAATTAATCAATTGATTTTATTTTGTAGGACATTGCATTAGTTTTACATAAAGTATAACTGAAATAAGTTGAAACGTTTTATAAAAAAAAAAATCTAAAGCCTGAGAGCTTCCGGGCTTTCACCCCCTGG